TTCCCATCACTTCCCATCTTCTTCCCGCATCTTCCCATATCGATCCGGTTCATTCCTGCCAGCATCCCGGTTCGAAGCTCATTCATTCTGCATTCACCCCATCATCATTTGCATCATCAACACCATCCCTTAATGTATTCCGCCAGCACTTGCATCATTCATTTCATCCTGTCTCCAGGTAAGTTCTCTTTCTCTCATCTTTTCCATGCATTCAAAATCTTTTTTCATCCAAGCTCGATTTATTTCACACTGAGGACAGTGTGATTTAAGTTTGGGGGGGGGGGGGGGTTTCATCCATTTCTAACGACCTTTCTTTCATGAGTCTCTACACCATTCTCGTTTTCTTTAAAAAATAATTATAAACGGTTTTCAAAGCAAAATACGTTTTTAAAGGGAATGGTGAAAATGAATCAATGATAGTTGACTGTGTGCTTTGCTATTTCCTAGTGACATGCTCATTTGTGACTTAGGACTAGTCTAGACGGTAGCTAAGCACATTTAAAACGAAGTACCCTAGAGGAATTTGAATGGTTGCGATTTAGATGAAGGAACACACTAGCTCTGTTTTATCTGGACTTAACATTGACTTAATTTTCTCATTGAAACATTAGAACATGGAAAGAAATCATACATTCAGGACTCCTTTACCCTTTTACCACTCTTTGGTTATCCTGAATAGCTAATTCATCTTTAGCTAGTTTCCCACCTTACCCAACCTCTTTCAAACAACATGCATTCTTGTTTTTCATTGTCATATATGCAGATATGTGCAAAAAAATTGGAGAGAAAGAGGATCAACACAGTTTTCAGTCACTGAAGACGGAGACTTGTGATTTCTGCAATGATTCAACAAAAGAGAAAAGCTCAGTTTGTCTCAGAAAAGTTTCTTAATACTTGTGTATTTTCATCCCTTAGATTCTCTATTTTAATAAAACGTGTTTCCCCTTTAAATACAAAATAAAAAAAAATCAAAAAACAAAAGAGAAAAGAAAAGAAAAATGAGAAAGGAAAGAAAATAAAAACCTTAGAGAGTCTAAAAAGATCGATTTTTATCTTTGAGGCAAGGCTTGGTTCGACTATTTGGAGATTTGGAGATCATCTTATTGATTCCTGGAAAAGATCTAAGTCTGGGGAAGTAGCACTGTACACCAAAGGAGGAAAAATTATGCAACAACACTTGGCAAGGAGAAGTGACTGAAAATTGTGGGTATCAACAGATCCATTCTCTCTTGCGGTTTTGCATAATATCTAGCATCCTACAGATCTTCATGTAACCCTAAACACTTTAACTCCACCACTTAAATGGCCATTAATACGAAACGCCGTCTACCCTGAATGATGTTTGTGATGAGAAATTCACACTTTTCACTTAGTGAATGTAGAGAGTAGTATCTTTTGCGTCTTGATGAGAATTTTCTAGACAAAGTTGCGATTGTTGTACCATCGATGGTCAGAGTTTAGAGGTTTATGTAAAAGCTTTGCAAAATGGATAGAAGACCAGATTTTTAGCTCAGAGTCAAACCGTCAGAAGTCCACCCTCAAATGAAGAACTTCTCACTATTTGATCCATCTCAAATTTAGAGACCTTATAGATGGAACAAGTAGCTTTTCAGCAAGCTTGACATCAGGAAAATCCAACGGTTCAATCAAAAGTTACTCGAAGAGCATATGTTCAGTCAATCAGCAGGCCAGCCTTCCGGACCACGGCAAATATTTGGTTTCCCACGGTTGCCCACTTCCTGACCGCAAAAAATCAACGTTCAGATCAAGGAAGCCCATTTTCAAGCCCAATCGATTACTTTTTTCAAAGAAGCCCTAAGTGATGTCCATGAATAACTTGAAGACCTATAAAAACTTGTTTTAAGAACCCTAGACGATATCTTATTCTGTGTTAGTCGTTTTTTTAGATCTTTATTAGGTTTAGGTAGATAGAGATCTATCTCTTGAACCCTCTTTGTTTCTTCTTCAATATCGATTTCAATACAGCTTTTCAATACAATGTTTTAGCTTTTTTTCAATCATGTCTAAGTACTTTATTTTTTGGATTTAAGGGAATTTTTGATGGGGATTATATATGTTTGATGAGGATTGCATGAGTTATTACACCGAATCCTAGAACTTTTTCTTCTAAACTTATTTGTAATGCATGGGAGTAACATCATGAACTATAATCTGATTTAGGTTCGTAGTGTTGCGAGAGTTTTCATTAGGGGCCAGATCTAGTTTAAGAAGAGCAATTTTGCCATAGGATACGAAAGCTACTTATGGGTGATTTGTGAATGTAGATGAGTTTAGTGCAAGATTGCGTACATTTGGGGCCGGAGTCAGAGACGAAAGTTACTGGTCAGGGTCTTGGATGACAGTTGGTTATGATCACGATAGTGACGTAGTCATACCTTCGTGCTCGAGTTCTAAAAGCTTTAGCTAGGTTTTTTTTATAATACTTTTTAGCAATGTTTTGAATTGTTCATACCCCGAAGATATTTCCTTGATAACCCAGCACCTCGTTTTTGTAAGTCTTACACCGATTTTTTTAAAGCTTTTAACATTAGGTCATTTTTACTTTCTATCCAATTTTCTTAAAGTTTTAGCATTAGGTCATTTTTAGTTTTCAATCGATTTTTCCTTTTCCCGTTTAGTTTAGGATTTACGTTTTTAGTGACACCAAAACCCCTTATAAATATGGATTAGTTCTAGACTTCCTTATTTCAATCTCTTTTAAATGTTTTGGCAGAAAAGATCATCTTTCCCTGTGGATTCGATCCCTAAATACTATAATCGATAAGCTTTGCACTTGTGGTTTTACTTGATTCTTTTAGGGTAAAACTTGCTCTCACACTCACCCCACATCAAAGTCCAATCTTCTTCTGCCAAAAACTGGACTTACTCAAGTTAGCGAAAAGCTGATGATTTCTCACTAATTGCAGATGCCAAGCATGCTCCCTTTCAGTTCTCGAGTATACCAAGAAACCATTGATGAAAACAATCACACACTTGTCCAAGTATGCTTGAAAAAGATTGTTCATCAATTTCATAAATGCAGCTGGCACATTTGTCAACCAAATGGCATCACAACTCGAAATGTCCGTAACAGGTTTGGAATGCCGTTTTCTTGATGTCCTCCTCAGCTATCTGGATCTGATGGTAGTCTGATTATAAATGAATCTTCGAAAACCACAATGCTCCTTGCAGTTGTTCCAACAACTCACTGATTCGTGGCAACGGATATCTGTTCTTGATGGTCACCTAATTCAACCGTTTTCCTTACTGCGGCTTAGTCACTAGTAGCTCATAACTCGCTGCCTCACCCAAACACATTTGGCCTTGGGAATTTTCTTAGCTGCGAGTTAGCTCACCAGCATCATCTCTTTTGGGATAGGCTCAGGTTTGCAGGGGGAAGGCATTCGTTTCTGATGATGAAAGGACAGAGAGTGATGCTGAAGGGGAATTATCTGCGGTTGTAGAGATGGTTCAGATTTTTGTTCGAGAGGCAGCCAAGAAGCAATGGGGATTATGCAAGGAAGGTTTTCTGAAGTGGATCTGATAAGCAAAATTGGCATTTTTGATGATGTCAAGACCATTCTTGACAACATGGGTGTGGAAAACTTTTGGAGCTGAGAGAGGTTGCTTATGAAATGGAGTCTCAAGAGTTTTTGGCATCTTTGGAAATGGTGCTCTACAATTCAAGAGATGTGAGAAGAATTGTAGGAAGTGGTATGGGGCACATAAGCTTTGTGGTGAAGGAAAAAAGGTATCAAGTAACCTTTAAGGAGCTTAATGCAATATTGGCTTCTCCAAACCAGGGAAAACTCACCCTTCACACGAGCTCGATCATACAAAGGCTGATCTTGATGCTTTGTAGGATACCATTGCCTTTGGAAGTGATATGATCATGGATAGCTATGAAGACATGGAACCTGAGCCTAAAGATGGAGAGCTTGCAGTTGAGGAGTTTGTACCAGAGCAAGAAGAACCATTGCTTATTTCTAACAGCCCAATGACCAGAGCAAAAGCAAGACGACTCAAGGAGGCTGTTAACAGCATTATCAAGCAACCAGTTCAAGAGGGAAAAGAGTGTCACAAACACATTAACCGTGATTCAAGTTCGAGACTTTAAGTGGACGTGTGATCCGGCTTTGTACTCTTTTTCCCCATTTCAAGTTTTTTCTTAATGGGTTTTTTTTAGATAAGTTTTTAATGAGGCAAGGCTCGGATCACCTTCACCTAAGTCCACTAGGGCCAAAGCCCACAAAGAAGGAGCGTGTCTTCTAGTTTTAATTCAACTTAGACAGCTTGATTTGTTTAGTTCCGAGACATCTTTAAGTCTTAGTCGAGTCCTTTCTCTTTATAAACCTTTGTAGTTCATTGTTTTTGATCATCTTTTGTTCAATCTAAAGTCTCTTTCAATAAAATATCAAACTATTACTTGTTGCTGTGTAATATCCTCAAGTAAACCGATCTCTCTTTGTTGTGTCATATCCGAAGAAGATCACCGGTGAATCAAGAGATCTTTCCGCAATCTCTTGTGTGACCATTCGACTTCACACTCTTTGAAACAATCCTTTGTTTGCAAGCCTTATCTCATCGATATCCAACACTAGAATGACGATCAAAGGGAAGATCTACCGAAAATCATATTAAGTGGTATCAGAGCAAATCATTCTACTCGTTGGATCATCGACTTGAATCAGGTTATACCATTCTTTTTATTTGTTTTAAGACGTTTCCTGATTCGTTTCAAAATCCAAAGTGATAGATCTAGTCGGCTTCCATGTGTTGCATCATTTGCACTAGATCGGTATATTCTGTGTTAGAAACCCATCAAGATAACATCATCAGACAATTGTCTCCTCATATTCATTCATCGATCTGTTCTTCAAGTAATAAAGTGTCAATTCAAATTCAAATATCTTTATATCAATCTTCACGAAGAGTCATTTTAATCTTATTCGATTACGAGAATCGGTACTAGTGATCTGTTTGATTTGGTTTCAGCAAAGATGTCTGATCACCGAGAAGAACCCAGCAACAACAACGACAAGCTCTTGTTGGAAGCCATGATGGCTGAAATGAAAAAAATGATGGCTGCTCAGTTTCATCAATTTCGACAAGAGATCCATCAACATCAGTGTTATGCGAGACCAGACAGAGAACCAAGGACAAATAATCCTGGACAATTGCCAGAGAGGGTCAGAGAAAAAGTCAGGCCAACGTGAGATGAGGCTGCAGATAAATACTACAATCGAGACAACAGTTCATCAAGAGGCAACCAACAGCGATATAGACGCGGACACGAAGAGTGAACCCTTCTACAAGAAGACCTTGGAGGGCTCAAACTAAAAATCCCACTGTTTCATGGAAGGAACGATCCAGATGCTTCTCTAGAGTGGAAAAAGAAAATTGAATTAGTGTTCAACTGTCAGCACTACACTGAGATCAACCGGGTGAGAGTGGCAGCAACAGAGTTCTATGATTATGCCCTCAGCTGGTGGAATCAGGTAGTCACTTCTCGTAAGCGCAATGGAGAATACCCTGTGGAATCTTAAGAAATGAAGACCATTATGCGTAAGAGGTTTGTGCCTAGTCATCATCACCAAGAGTTGCACAACCGACTCAGACGACTGACGCAAGGAAATAAGAGTGTAGAGGAATATTATCAGGAAACAGAGACCCTGCTGATCAGTGCTGATGTATCAGAAGACCGTGAGGAGAGCATGTCGAGATTTCTAGGAGGTCTCAATCGTGAGATCCAAGATCGGTTGGAAATGCAGCACTATGTTGAACTAGAAGAAATGTTGTACAAAGCCATACTCGTGGAACAACAACTCAAAAGGAGAAACAATACCAGGACCGGTTATGGAGTTAGAGCTTCTACAAGTAAACAAAGCTATCAAAAAGAAGATAGAACAAACTCGTTTCAAAGAGAAGTCAAACCAGTCATTCCTGCTAAGTAGAAACCAAGCCGATTACTTCAGTTCAAGAAAGCAAAGGCAAAGCAGAGTCAACCATGACAAGATCACGGGATGTTAAGTTCTTCAAGTGTCACGGCCAAGGACACTATGCCAATGAGTGCTCAAACCATAGGGTTATGTTGCTATTAGAGAATGGAGAAGTCGAATCAGAGGACGAGAAGCATGCAGTGTATGCCTCCTCAGAAGAATATGAAGCACTTCCGGTTCAAGGAGAACTTCTGGTGGCTCGGAGATCCTTAAGTGTTCAGACAAAGACTGATGAGAAAGAGCAAAGATAAAATTTGTTTCACACTCGCTGTGTTGTCCAAGGCAAAGTATGTAGCCTCATTGTTGATGGAGGAAGCTGCACGAATGTAGCTAGTGAAGCATGGTGAAGAAACTTGGTCTGAAAACAATTAAGCACCCGAGACCTTACAATAAGGATTTGTAAAGCAACAATAAGGACTTGGAGTTGGAACTAGAAGATGGAGAGTGAGTAGCCGAGGAACAAGAGATTGTAGCTGATCAAGAAGATCTTTTAAGCGTTCCAAGTGGTCCAATGACTCGATCAAGGACTAAGAAGCTTAAGCAAATCATTGGAGCTATCATCAAAGGCCTTGACTCGATTCAGGAGGGAAAAGAGCCGATCACAAGCACTCTGATTGTGATCCAAGTCCAAGACGGCTAAGTGGGCTTGAGATCGAGGCTTGTACTCTTTTTCCCTATCTCAAGTTTTGTCCCACTGGGTTTTCTTGAGATAGGTTTTTAATGAGGCAAGAATGGATCTCTATTTCGCCTAAGTCCACAAAGCCTTAAGCCCAAGTTGTTTCATCAAGAGGAGCGTCTAAAATCAAGTTCAAACTTGACAGCTTGTTCTTTGTTTATTTCCGAGATAAGTTAATGTTTGTGAGACTCATTTCTTCTTTCTTTCTTCTATATATTCGTTTGAACTCCTTTGTATCAAACCATCTTATCTTTTACTCTAAAACTCTTTCTTAAAGATTAAGATCTCGTTTGTTGGTGTGTTATATCCTTTAAACAACTTGAATCGACTCTGTGTGTGTCATATCTCTTAGAAGGTTCAAGTAGGCGTATCAAGAGTGTTCTGCGACTCTTGTGTGTGTCCTATCGTTTCCCCAAATCCCTTAGAACAGTCTCCGATTGTTACAAGGTCTATCTCATCATATTCCAGTCATTAGAGTGACGATCAAGGGCAGATCTTTACTAGGATCACATCAAGTGGTATCAGAGCACCATTCTAATCAATGGATCGTCGAGAATCAGGTTGTGTCATTTCAAATCTGAGTTCTTTTCGAGTTTTATTCTGTGTTTCAATTATAGGAAACTTTAAACTACGTTACCACTGTGTTTCATGATCACTTGTGCTAGATCTATTGAGAAAATGATTGTTTGCACCACAAGGCACATCAGTCGAGCTATTTGTGTTACAAACTGACCGATCAACTTCATATTTGCCACCGTTTGAGATTGTCTTTTCAAATTCTATCGTTGATCTGTGTTCTAAATGCTTAAAGTGACTATTGAGATTCCGTAAATAGAACCGATCACTAGTGATTTTGCTTGTGTGAATTTTCAGGAAAATCATGACCGAAGAAGAAGAGACCAGTCAACAACGAGACAACAAGCTTCTGATGGAGGCTATGACCGCAAAAATGAAAGAACTAATGGCTGCTCAGTTCGAAGTGTTCAAGCAAGAGATGCAACAACAATCCGATGCAAAAATTGATCGAGAAACAAGGAGAAGGAATCACGTGCAATCGCCAGAGAGAACCAGAGATCAACTTAGACCACCAAGAGATGACGCGGCTGAGTCTTATTACAGCCGAGATAACAGTTCTTCGAGGAGCCATCACCGACGCCAAAGACGAGTCCGAGAAGAGCCTATACCTCTTCAAGACGGATTAGGAGGAATCAAGTTGCGAATTCCCTCATTTCATGGGAAAAATGATCCGGACGCTTACTTAGAATGGGAGAAAAAGATCGAATTGTTCTTTAATTGTCAACATTACACCGAGATTAACCGAGTAAGGGTCACGGCCACCGAGTTCTACGAGTACGCCTTAAGCTGGTGGGATCAGTTGGTTACGTCTAGGAGAAGAAATGGCGAATATCCTGTTGAGAGATGTTTCAACAACTTCTAGACCAAGTTACCTAAAGGAGGAGAAGCTCAGTTCTTACCAGAGAGACGGAAAGCAGATTGCGATACCAAAGTCTGAAAACAAGCCGTTTGTGACTCAACAAGAAGGCAAAGGCAAAACCGAAGCCTCCACAAGTCGATCTAGAGATGTGAAGTGTTTCAAGTGCCAAGGCCGGGGTCATTACGCCAATGAGTGCTCTAATAAAAGAGTCATGATTCTCAAAGATGATGGAGAGATCGAGTCTGAGGAAGAAAGTCTAGAACATGAACTCATGACCGAGTATGCGGAGATCCCGGCTCAAGGTTCACTACTAGTTGCCCGAAGATCTCTAAGTGTTCAGTCAAAATCAGAAGAGCAGGAACAAAGAGAGAACCTATTCCACACTCGATGCCTTGTTCAAGGGAAAGTATGCAGTCTTATCATCGATGGGGGCACTTGTACTAACGTCGCAAGTGAAGCTATGGTTAAGAAGTTAGGCTTAAGTGTTAAGAAGCACCCGAGACCATACAGGCTTCAATGGCTGAATGAGAATGGAGAACTGAAAGTGAATAGCCAAGTCTCAGTCCCTATAACCATCGGACGATATCAAGATGAAATCCTTTGTGATGTGCTACCTATGGAGGCCGGACATATCCTTCTTGGCCGACCATGGCAATCTGATAGATGAGTGATACATGATGGTTTCACTAATAAGCATTCGTTTGTTTTTAATGGCAGGAAAACAACGCTGGTGCCTCTAACCCCCCCCCCCCCCAAGAAGTGTATCAAGATCAGCTCCAGTTCAGAAAAAAGGAGAAACTAGCGACCAAATCATCGAACTTTTTCTAAAAAGCTGGTGATGTTGCAAGAGCCTTGATATCCAAGCAACCGGTTTTATTATTTGTCTTTAAGGAATCACTTGCTAGTATCACTAACGTTACACCGGTGCTACCGAGTGAAATGAATGACCTTTTACAGGCATATAAGGACGTGTTCCCAGAGGATAATCCCAAAGAGTTGCCACCAATTAGAGGCATTGAACATCAGATAGATTTCATCCCCAGAGCTTCATTACCCAATCGAGCTGCCTACAGAACCAACCCGGTAGAAACCAAAGAGCTACAAAGACAAGTGAACAAACTCATGGAGAAAGGCCATATCAGGTAGAGCATAAGCCCTTGTGCTGTGCCAGTGTTACTTGTGCCTAAAAAGGATGGAAGCTGGCGCATGTATGTTGATTGCCGAGCAATTAACAATATAACGGTTAAGTATAGGCATCCAATTCCTACACTAGATGACATGTTAGATGAGTTACATGGGTCTAGCATCTTCTCTAAAATTGACCTTAAGAGTGGATATCATCAAATTAGGATGAAGGAGGGAGATGAGTGGAAAACTGCTTTTAAGACTAAGCATGGCCTATACGAATGGTTAGTCATGCCCTTTGGTTTCACTAACGCACCTAGCACCTTTATGAGATTAATGAATCATGTTCTTAGGGCGTTTATAGGTGTATTTGTGGTCGTTTACTTTGATGACATATTGGTCTATAGTAAGAGTCTAAGCGATCATGTCTTGCATTTGAAATCTGTCTTAGATGTGCTTAGGAAAGGAGAAATTGTATGCCAATCTTAAGAAATGCACGTTCTGTACAGATAACTTGGTCTTTTTAGGCTTTGTTGTAAGCGCAGATGGAATCAAGGTCGATGAAGAGAAGGTGAAGGCAATAAAAGAGTGGCCGATTCCTAAGACCGTGAGTGAAGTGAGGAGCTTTAACGGCTTAGCCGGATTCTATAGAAGATTTGTAAAGGACTTTAGTACTATTGCTGCTCCACCCACCGAGATAATCAAGAAAGAAGTTGGGTTCAAGCGGGAACAAGCACAAGAAGATGCATTCCGAGCCTTAAAGGATAAGCTTACTAATGCTCCCCTCTTAATTCTACCTGATTTCCTTAAAACGTTTGAAATCGAATGTGATGCCTCTGGTATAGGTATTGGTGCTGTTTTGATGCAGGATCGAAAGCCCATTGCATTCTTCAGTGAGAAACTTGGAGGCGCCACACTCAACTACCCTACATATGACAAAGAACTCTATGCCCTAGTCCGAGCATTGCAAATGTGGCAACACTATCTTTGGCCCAAGGAGTTCGTCATACATACGGATCATGAGTCTCTTAAGCACTTGAAAGGGCAACAAAAACTCAACAAGAGGCACACAAGGTGGGTAGAATTCATAGAAACATTTCCCTATGTGATCAAGTACAAACAAGGTAAAGACAATGTAGTTGCCGATGCATTGTCTCGAAGGTATGCCTTGATCTCTACTCTTGATGCTAAGCTTATAGGATTTGAACAGCTCAAACACATGTACGCATCAGATTCTGACTTTGGAGAGAAATACCAATCCTGTGAAAAGTTTGCCAAAGATCATTACTTCAGGCAAGATGGTTTTCTTTTTTATGATAATCGCCTATGCATTCCTAATTGCTCTATTCGAGATCTTTTAGTCAGGGAAGAACACGGAGGAGGTCTAATGGGTCATTTTGATATTACTAAGACTTTGAAAGTGATGCAAGATCACTTCTACTGGCCACACATGAAGAGAGATGTAGAGAGAATCTGTGAGAGATGTGCAACTTGTAAACAGGCTAAGTCTAAGTTTAAGCCTCACGGTTTGTACTCTCCATTACCTATTCCTTCTCACCCTTGGGTTGATATCTCTATGGATTTCGTACTTGGTTTGCCTAGGACTAGAACAGGAAAGGATTCCATATTCGTTGTTGTGGATAGATTTTCAAAGATGGCGCATTTCATTGCATGTAATAAAACCGATGATGCATCTCATGTAGCTAATCTGTTCTTTAAGGAAGTAATTCGCTTACATGGCATGCCTAGGACCATTGTTTCTGATCGTGATACTAAGTTTTTTAGTTATTTTTGGAAAACATTATGGTCTAAGTTAGGAACTAAGCTTCTGTTCTCTACCACATGTCATCCACAAACTGGTGGGCAAACTGAAGTAGTCAATAGGACTCTGTCTACTTTACTGCGTGCATTAGTTAAGAAAAATCTTAAGTCATGGGAAGAATGTTTGCCTCAGGTTGAATTCGCATATAATCATTCGATGCACACTGCTTCTAAATTTTCACCATTTGAGATTGTCTATGGCTTTAATCCTATAACTCCTTTGGATCTAACCCTATAAAAGTATGAAGGAGAAGTGCAAAGTAAAATCACAAAATGCAAAGAGAAAATTAAGCTAGGCTAGATGCATATATACAAGGATGGAGTGTTACCTTCTCAAGGACTTAGAGATAGGGCTGGAGACCCCATGGAGTAGGAGGGATTGCTGGATTGGTCTGAGGGAGATCTCATGGCATCCCTCTTGGCTCTGACTTTATCGTCCTCTGACTCTGGTGATGAATGATTGTCTGCTCTGCAGATCCTAAGCATCTCGCCATTGTCTGAACTTTCACCAACTTCTGCTCTTTGGAACCTCTCAAGCTTGGCAATCGGCTTCTTAATCTTGGCTGCCATGCTCTTGACCGTGCTTCCCAAGATCTTCACTGTCTCCACCAGCTTCTTAGTGTTCTTGTCTTTCCACTTGTTCCACCTTTGAAGGTTTTTGGTGCGGTAATGAGCAGCAACAATGGCTTCATTGGGCATCTGACCATCATAGGAGTCAAAGAAGTATTGTACTCATACACTGGGTTTTGCAATAAGGGAACCTCCTGAACCGGTTCTTGGTCTCCATCAGCATCATTAACAGGCACTTTCAGCTTCCCCAACTTCCTGATTGTTTTAATGGGAGTGATTAGGCCTCCAATGTGCATGGAGGGTGCCTTTATTTTTGTGCCATGAGCCCATTTCCTGATTGAAAGAATGTTCTTGACTAGAAGGGCTGCCATTGTTGGTTTATGAGGATCTCCATTAAAGGGCATGCCGCTGCTGAACTTTGGCATCAAGGGCTTCAGACCTTCTCCAATGAGCATCAACTCCTCATCATACACTGTTGAGTACTCTTTCTTTCCAAGGAATGTATGAGCTATGATCTTGTGCACCATTCTGAGCACTGGGTTCCTGATGCAAGCCGCCTTTGTTACACCAGCTGAGTGATCGCCACTTCCTATTGCCCACCATAGCTGAATCAGGTCGGCTCCATAATAGATCAGCCTCTTTGCACATGTCCTCTCCTCAACAGTGAACCCAAAGCATTCACTTACCTCGCTAACGGTCATTTCATACCGTTCATATCCAATTTTGAATGCAATGGGTCCAAAACCATCTTCAAGCTGAGCTGGTCCAATCTCTCTATAGAAATCAGCTTGTAGAGATGCAAGAAATTGGCAAGTCATCTCTTTGTAGGAAGGGTGAGGTACTTCTATCAGGCTCCCAAGTCCAATGGAATGAAGCACTGCTTTCACTTCTTCAAGAATACCAAGTTTCCCCAAAAGTTCAAGGTCAGGGAAATAGGTCCCTTCATGCGCCACAGCTTGGAGTTTTCTGAGAAAATCTGAGTAAGTTGGAGGTTTTGGCTTGGGCTTCTTCACCACTTTCTTTTTCTTTTGTGGCACAACAGCTGGTGAACCCACATTGTTCTCTTCCTCACTAGATTCCACAGTTGGGCTCCTCTCAACCCTTTTCTGTTTCCCTGAAGCTCTTGAGCTTAAAGCTGCAGCTTTCTTCTTGTTTTTAGAACCAACACCAACCGCTTGAGACTGTTCCCCTGAACCAGAAGCAAGTGCTTTTCCATTGTCTCTCCTTAATACTTTGGGCATCAAAACAGGGTTTCCTCTTGCCATGGTACCTGATTCAACAATTTCTCAAGCAAACAATGAGTCTCTAGAGAAATAATCCCTTGAAATTTTCAAAATGATTTTTGCTTGCAATGAAATCATTGGGAATAAATCAGACAAAATCACATTAAGCAATCCCAAGCAGCACCAAGAGATTCTCACTTCAAAATAATTTTCTAAAATCAAAATTTCAGCTTAAGAACAATGAGTTCTAAAGGTGTCTAAAATCAGGATTCAAGAAACAATTGAGCACAAGTGAGTTCATTCCTAGCTACCCACAACCTAAAATCCAAGGTTCTAGTCAGTTTCAAGCAAAGCATTCTCAGTTCCACAAAAAATTTCTTTCAAGAAAAATCAAGAAGAACAGCGATTTGGTTTTTTTTTAACTTAAGAAGCATTTTAAGCAAAATGTACCTTGGAGCTGGGTTAATTGGTGCAAGTAATCGAAATGGGGCAAAGAAATCTTCAGGAAAATCGATCCACAAGCAGGGAAATCAAGCTTTTTCAGAGAGAAACAATGGTGGTGTTTCGCAAAAATGAAGGAGAAAGAGAGAGAAAACCGATTTTTTTTGTGGTCCAGGGCTGCTCTTTGGAGTGTGGGAGACAGCTGGAGATGGCTGGAGTCTTTGACTTTGACCAAGCCACCCTTTGGACCTCTGGACAATAGGCTGCACCCAGGTCATACCGACTTGATTCTGCTCGGTGTGGGAGGTCGGTGTTCGTCTAAGTTTCTTCACTTTCTGCACCGAGGTTTTGCACCAAGCAAAATCACCTCGGTGTGAGACAAGTCCTGGCTTCTTCTTACACTGAACCGACCTCCATTTGCTCGGTGTACCTGGTGGATATTTCTTCGGCTTTTTGAACATGGTTACACCGAGTAAATGCACCAAGTGAAATGACCTTGGTGTGAGGCATTCTTGGCCATCTTTTGTTCCACACCGACCTCCACTTGCTCGGTGTACCTGGTCAATATTCCTTCGGCTTTTTAGCATATACACCAAGGGAAATCAAGGGAAATCATGTCGATATGAATGCATTCCTCAGCCGATTTTTTCATCTTTTCTCTTCTATAACCCTTTTAAAATTGCACTTGGGCCACTCTAAAACCTGTACACACTTGAACAAAAGATCAAAACATCCTAAAAATAGCAAAAGAAAGCAAGAAAAAAAACTATATACAAGGATAAGCTTGGGGTGTCTCCCAAGAGCACTTTATTTAAAGTCTCTAAGTTTGACTTTGAGAACCTATTTAACAGGCTAGTGGATCATCAAGAGGAACTGAAGAAGCTTCCTCTCTCTTCTCTGAAACTAGGTAATGCTTGACCCTTTGTCCATTCGCAACAAAACCCTTTCCATCTTTTCCTTCTAAGACCAATGCTCCATAGCTTATAACCTCTAAAACCCTGAATGGTCCTGACCATCTTGCCCTTAATTTACCAGGAAAGAGCTTGAGCTTTGAGTTAAACAAAAGAACCAGGTCCCACCTTAAACCCCCTCTTGAGAATTTTCTGATCATGCAAGATCTTGGTCTGTTCCTTGTATATCCTTGCACTCTCAAAGGCATTAAGTCTGATTTCTTCAATTTCATGCAACTGGAGTACCCTCTTCTCTTGAGCTGTCTTAATGTTAAAGTTCAACATTTTAACAGCCCAAAGAGCCTTGTATTCATGCTCTACTGGTAAGTGTCAGCTTTTCCCATATAACAGATTGAAAGGTGATGTTCCAATGGGAGTCTTGTAAGCAGTCCTATAGGCCCAGAGAGCATCATCCAACTTCTTGCTCCAGTCTTTCCTTGAGTTGCTCACTGTCCTTTCTAAGATGGCCTTAATCTGTCTGTTTGAGACCTCTACTTGGCCACTGGTTGCATACTTTTCTTGTGCAGTGGTTGCATACTTTTCTTGTGCAGTATCAAGGATCCTACTGGTATATTAGATCACATGAAGTTTCCTGTTCTTCCTCTGGCCAAGCACAGCTCCAACTGCATAGTCTGAGGTGTCAGTCATCACCTCAAAGGGGAGAGACCAATCTGGAGCCTGAAAAATTGGTGCACTGATCAATGCCTCCTTGAGTTGCTTGAAAGCTTCCTCACATTCAGCATCAAAGACAAATTGAACCTCTTTGCAAAACAGCCTTGTCAAAGGTCTAGCTATCCTTGAGAAGTCTTTAATGAATCTCTAGTAAAACCCTGCATACCCAAGAAAGCTTTTTATTCCCTTGACTGAATTTGGAGCTTGCATATTCACCATCACTTCCACCTTTGCTCTGTCCACTTTCATTCTAGCTTCTGAGATCTTGTGCCCCAACAATATTCCCTTTTGTACCATGAAGTGGTACTTCTCCCAGTTGAGACCTAACCTGTGCTCCTCACACCTCTCCAGGACCTGAGACAGGTTAGACAAACAAGAGGAGAAAGAGTGTCCATAGACTGAGAAGTCATCCCTGAAGACTTCTACTTTTTCCTCAATCAGATCCGGAAAAATAAACATCATACAACGCTGGAAAGTAGCAGGAGCATTGCACAGCCCAAATGGCATGCACCTATAAGCAAATGCCTCATAGGGACAGGTGAATGTGGTCTTATCTTGGTCTCTTGGATCTATTGGGATTTGAAAGAATCCAGAGTAACATCTAGAAAACAAAAGAAGGGATGGTTTGCAAGCCTCTCTAGCATCTGGTCAATAAAAGGCAAAGGAAAATGGTCCTTCCTAGAGGCTCCAATAAGATTTCTATTATCAATACACCTCCTGTGTCCAGTTATAGTTCTTGTAGCTATTAACTCATCCCTTTCATTTTTTATCACTGTCATTCCCTCCTTCTTGGGCACCACATGTACTGGTGAAACCCATCTAGAGTCTGAGATTGGATAAATTATCACAGCCTCTATGAGTTTGAGAATCTCTTTTTTCACTACCTCTTTTAAGTTGGGATTGAGACGCCTTTGGTGCTCAATGGATTACATAGATTCCTCTTCAAGGTGAATCCTATGAGTGCATAGGTAGGGTGAGATACCCTTTTTTATGTCATCCAAAGAGTAGCCAATGGCTCTCCTATGTTTCCTCAACTCATCTAACAATGCATGCTCTTGATCCTCTAACAGCTTATCATTGATAATTACAGGATAAGACTCATTGAGACCTAAGAAAGCATACCTGAGCCCCTTGTGAAGAGGTTTGAGTTCTAATTGAGGTGCCCTGCTTGCATCCCAATCTCTTTCCTAAGCTGTTTGGGAGGCTTGTTGTGGCTGTTCTTCTTGTGATTCCCCCTCAGCATTATTGCTTTGCCTCTGAACCATCTCATAACCCTTTTGAGAACCCATTTCTTCCTTTTCCGCTATGTTCACACCGACTTGATTCTGCTCGGTGTAGAAGATCGATATTTCTTTGGCTTTTTGGACCCTGTCACACCGAGCTTCTACACCGACTGAATTCACCTCGGTGTGAATTAAAACCTCAGCTCTTTGTACAGATTTTTTAGACACCGACTTCCTTTCACTCGCTGTGGCTGGTCGATATATCTTCGGCCTCTGAACCTCCTCTACACCGAGTTGAATACCGACTGAAATCTGGTCGGTATGAACATGTTTCCTTGACAAATCTGAGCTTCCAAACCGGTCTAATGGCTTTTCTAGAGCTCTGTGATCTAATTTCATGAAAGAATCAGTGCTTCCTTCTGGTTTGTGGGAGTCAAGAAACTTCATAAACCCAAGGTCTCATCCTCTAGATAACCATACTCACCATCTTCCTTTGTTAAAGTTATTTGGAGAGGGTCTTCTAGAATTAACTCCTCCAAAAGCTCATCAGCTAGCTCATCCATGGTTTCTATGTAGAAGCATTGTCCTTATATGGTGGGCTTTTTCATAATGTCCTTGAGATCAAACTTCAGCTTTTCTTTACCAAGTTGTAGCTCAATGATGCCACCTCTTACATCAATAGTTGCTCTTGCTGTGGCCAAGAATGGCCTGCCCAAAATCAGTGGATCAACCGGTTCTTCATCCATCTCTAGAACAACAAAATCTGTAGGCACTTCAAAACCGCCTATCTTGACTGGCAAGTCCTCTAACATCCCAACAGGTAGCCTTACTGATTTATCAGCTAGGATAAGAGAGATTCTAGCAGGTTTGAACACTCTATATCCAAGCTTCTTTGCTATAGAAAATGGCACTAAGCTCACAGATGCTCCCAAGTCACAAAGACATCCAGCAAACATCAATGGTCCTAAAGCACAAGGGAGAGTGAAGCTCCCTGGATCAGACAACTTCCTTGGGACTGATTTTCTCTGAATGATGGCACTACACTCATGGCTAAGCACCACCATACTCTGTAGCTCTTTGGTTTTGTTCAAGATAGCATCTTTTAGAAACTTCCCAAGATTAGGCATCATCAGAAATGCTTATGAGAGGCATTGTAAATGGTGTCTCATTAGGAGTCTTCTCAAAAAATGCCCTTGCTTTATCTAAAAGCTTCTTCTTGAATCTTCCTGGATATGGGAGCTTAGGTTGATAGGGAGGTGGTGGAACATAAGGCTTTTATGGTTCTGATGGCTTTTCCACCTCTTTGTCCTTCCCTTTATTTTATATTTCAGCTTCTTGATCATCCCTTGGGGCTGCCTCCCCACCAATTTGATCATTGTCCTCAATGATCACATTGTTATGTTCTAAACCTGGTAGCTCTTTGCCACTTCTCAATGTGATGGCTTTAGCATACTCTTTTGGGTTTGGTTCAGGCTTACCAGGTAAGCCACCTTGGTTTCTTGAAGTGGATGCCTGATTCTGTTTCAGCTCCTTGATCTCTTGTTGCATGGAAGCATATTGACTCTCAGCTCTTTGTTGACCCTGTAGCAACTGCTGTAGTATACCACACATATCTGGCCCCATCTGTTGACTCTGAACCGGCGGCTGATGACTGAACTGTTGTTGACCCATCGATTGCTGACTGAAACCTGGAGGCACCTTGGGCTGTTGCTGTTGAAAACTGAAGTTTGTACCCTGAATCTGATGCTGTGGCTGACCATATTGCTGTTGAGGCTGACTGAACTGTGGCTTAGGTTGGAAAGAACTCTGAAACTGAGGTTTAGGAGCATAGCTTTGTTGGTTTTGCTGAGGAGGGTACACCTGATCTTGAGGATTTGCAACATTGGGGTTGCGGTATGAGAGGTTTTGGTTGGCACCATAGTTGTTGAACCTCTGAAACCTCTGTTCATTCCCAATATAGTTGATCTCTTCCTCTGTGAGGCCATCTTCATTAATATTCTCAAAGCTTGGAGAATCATTTAACTCCGCAACATAGTGAATTGGTTTTTGAGAAACCAATTTCAGCTTTTCTAATTCATTCTCTTTTCCTCTCTAGTAAGCCTTGGATCTGAGCTTGAACCCTCTGATATCTTTGTCCTGTCATAATCCTCACCATATGTATCATTAGACATTGCCAAATTCTCCACAATTTCCATAGCAGAGGTAATCTCTTTTGCCAAGAAATTACCATTGGAGGCTGTGTCTAATTGGTTTCTTATCTGTGGTAAAGCTCCTCTATACAATGTAGAAAGTAGAGAAGCATCAGAAAAACCATAATGTGGGCACTGATTGGTGTAGCTTCTAAACCTCTCCCAAGCTTCCCCAAAGCTTTCATTGTTATGTTGCTTGAAGCTTGAGATCTTGTTTCTCAGCTTAGCTGTCCTAGAAGTAGAGAAGAACTTGGATAAAAAGGCAAGCTTGCACTGCTTCCAAGCCTGTATCGAACCTCTAGCCAGGTTCTTCTCCCATTGGTGTGCCTTATCTCCTAAGCTGAAGGGGAAAATCCTAAGCTTGAAGCTATCCTCTGAGACACCATTGATTTTTGTGAGGTCACAAACTCTATCAAACTGGTTTAGGTTCTCCAAAGGATCCTCCATTGGCAAGCAATGAAATTTGGAGTTTTGAACCATGTTGAGAAAGGAAGCCTTCACCTCAAAATTGTTATTCTGGACTGGTGGTGCTTGGATTCCTGCTCTATGCTGGTGTGCATTGGCTCTATCATTTTCCCCAAAAAACACTGGTGGAGGATCTTGTCTCCTTTGAGCTTGATGCTGAGGAATGAATTGAGCCTGTTGCTCATTTCTATTAGCCTGCTGCTGATTCTGCTGAGCCTGCCTCTCATTCCTTTGTGCCATGTTGATATTGACATAGGCTTGTTGCTCATTTCTCTCAGCTTGAGCCTGATTCCTTTGAGCTCCATTAACATGCTGAGCCTGTTGCTCCTCTTGAGCCTGGTGCTCAATGTCAACCACATGGTGCTCTCTCTGTTGTTCCATATCAGCTGCTCTATCAGTTTACCTTGCACGTCTATCTCTTCTTCTTCTTGGCACTAAGAGATTGATGTTGTCGTTCAGGGGAAATGGTGGACCACAACTTCTAGACCTTGATCTGGTGTTCATACACCTGAAAACAAAGACAGAACTTGCAGAGTAATCAGTAAACAAAAAGAAAGCACTTGATCTCAAGAAAGTATCTAAGACTAATGCTAGCACATTTGTGCAACGGCGCCAATTGATAACTAGAGATTTTTAAGCTCTAAATGGGGGTTATCAATCCCTTAGCTGTTGCAGCATAAAAGGTTTATCAATCCATTGTGTGGTAGACACTAGACTGTAAGATAGTTTCTTAATTCAATCAAAGGGTAAAGTTTGTTGGTGACTAATGCTTAAAACAAGATTAAAACTAAAACAAAGACAAGTGATTAAGTAAACTAAACAAGCAAGCAATTAAACAAGATGAAATGATATGGAATGATGGAAGCATGAGATTCTAGACATCATAGTTGGCTAGGGTGCTTTGGTGCTAAACTAGGAATGCTAATGACAATGATGAAACATGATTCAAATGATTTAGAACTCTAATCAAGCCTTAATTTTTCCCAAGCATCAAGACACAAATCAAGTTATTTCACATACCCAATCATCATTGGAGATCAAACAACAAGACAGCATTAAACATCAATCCTAAGTGATCATTCATGCAAATAACAAGTATCATCATGGCATTAATGCATAAATCTTTAATATAGCGCTTTCAGGAATTTCATCAAACACTTGTGGTGCATGAAATTCCCAGATTCTAGATCTCAAGTGATGTTCAAGGATAAAGTATAGAGATCAGCTATTTAGAGAGATGAAAGCATGAATCTAGCCCTAAGCACTCCTAATCTAGCACTTTAGCACCCTAACCTACACATCTAAAACCTCATTAAGCAAACTACTCACTAATCATACTAATCTCTGTTAAACCTTTGCAAGTAGAGTAGATTGGCATGATTAATTATGGGAAATGGAGATGGAGATGGTAGATGATGATGGATTGCAGTTCTAAACACAAAGATCCTTGATCTCTCTTGATTAAAACTCACAAAAGGATGGAAGATGAAGATGGAGATGATAGATAATGATGGATTGCAGATTTAAACACTAAGTACTCTCTTGATTCAAACCCAGAAAATGAAGATCTCTCTTACAAAGTTTAATTCCTTTCCAAAAGAGGCAAGGAAACAAAGAGAATAAAGCTTAG